CCTGAGTAGCTGGGATTACAGGCACGCGCCACCATGCCAGGCTAATTTTTGTATTTTTAGTAGAGACGGGGTTTCACCATGTTGGCCAGGCTGATCTTGAACTCCTGTACGCAAGTGATCTGCCCACCTCAACTCCCAAAGTGCTGGGATTACAGGCAAGAGTCACCGTGCCTGGCACTTTTTCATTTATTTTTAATATTTTTTTTTGAGACACAGTCTCGCTCCATCACCCAGGTTGGAGTGCAGCGGTGCGATCTTGGCTCACTGCAACCCCTGCCTCCTGGGCTCAAGCGATTCTTGCGCCTCCCCGAGTAGTTGGGATTATAGGCATCCGCCACCATGTCCAGCTAATTTTCTTTTTTGTATTTTTAGTAGAGACGGGGTTTCACCGTGTTGGCCAGGCTGTTCTCAAACTCCTGACCTCAAGTGATCTGCCCGCCTCGGCCTCCAAACGTCCTGGGGTTACAGGCGTGAGCCACCGTGCCCGGCATGATTATTATTTTAATTCAGTGAAGCTGACACCTGGAATTATTTTTCTCAGCGGTAGCAAAGGTAAATGGCAGCTACCAGGAGGCGCCACAGTGCAGAGGTGGTGTCCTGGCCGTGGGAAGGGGTGCTGAGGAAAGCTGGGAGTCAGGGGCTCCTGCACACCTCTGACCGTCCAGGAAGCCCACTTTGGCTCCCAGCGTCACCGGCGCTGGCACAAAAGGGTCTGCTGCAGCTAGTTCCGCCTGGCCACCGGCTCCTCCAGTTCCGGCCACGTGTGACTCCTCCTGTGAAGTCTTCAGTGAGCTCCTGCACTGACAGTCTAACTCCTTCAGGAAGGCTGCCTCAGATTGTTTCCAGGAAAATCTCTGCCAGCGCAGCACTCACGCTGCTGATCTGAGCCGTCGCTCACGGGGCTGAGGGCGGACGGTGGGGACATTGTGCTGCCTCGGTCCTGCAGCCACAGCGCCGCCATCCGTGGTTTTGGTGGCATCACCCATCCTTGGCCGTGATGGAAAGATGGTTGCAGAGATTGAGTAGGTGCAGGTTTAGGTGAAGGCACAGGTATAAACATAGGCAAAGGTGTAGGCACATGTAGGTGTCGCACAGGTGTAGGTATGGGACAGGTGTAAGTGTAGGCACAGTGTAGGTACAGCACAGGTGCAGGTGCCGGCACAGGTGTAGGTATGGCACAGGTATATGTGTATGCACAGGTGTAGGTGTAGCACAGGTATATGTGTATGCACAGGTGTAGGTGTAGCACAGGTGTAGGTGTAGCACAGGTGTAGGTGTAGCACATGTATATGTGTATGCACAGGTGTAGGTGTAGCACAGGTATATGTGTA